CAGGAATATTAAGTCACACAGACAGAAATAAGAGAATAAAAAGCAACCAAGAAAATGCTAGTTACAAGTCCAGAAATATCAATAGTAACGTTAAATGTTAACTTCTAAGATTTAAATAGAAAAGTCGGACCATAGTATCATCGCATATTACAGAAGAGAGATTAATTACATGAAGCTGAATTGGTGAAATAGAATTTTATGTCTTTTGACTAAAACAGTACTTATTTTTTTACTATGCTCTCTTTTCCAGATTTAATAAGGATTTTGCTTTCTTTTGAGCTGTTGGTAGGTTCAGCAATTTGGTAATTTTTTAAAATTTTGTTTGATTGTTTTTAAATTGAAATATAAACTTTTCTCCCTTCCTGACCCTTCTGGAAATGGAAAATATTTGTGATTATTCTTATTTTGTGGCAGAAGGGTTATTTTCATAAGTTCAATAATTTCTGTTGCCTTGCATCAGAATTGGAAATACTCTTATTGCCAGGGCTTTGACTGGAATGTCATATCCGAAGATATGACCAGAAAACTATGAAACTAAGATAGGTCTCAAGAAAACCAACAGAAGCTTTTGGAAAGATTGCCTGACACCATACATAGGCAGTTCTGCCTGGCAGGGAGGATTAGAGAAGCCATATGAAAGAATTTGAAGCATAAAATAACCTGGGCTTTTCTAGCCCAACATTGTAATAAACAGAGACTGCAAAAGAGCAGCCAAAAGCAGAGAATTACCTTGAAGAAGACTTTGAAAGAAAAAAGAGTCTGATCTTTGCTAGCAGGTGGTAAACCACAGAATACTTGGTAGGCAGATCTGAGTTGGAAAGGTTCACGTATGAATTGTGTGCTGAGTGTTTGCTTCTCAACAGTTTGAGTAGTTGACATGTAAATATTTTCTCAAAAATATTTAAAACTATACTGTCTCTAGTACAGAGTCACAAATCAAATTATAACAAATATTTTGAAAGTTATCTTTAAAATTCAGTTTTTTGAAAATTTTGAAATTTGTTTATTAACTCTTAAGAATTATGGAATATGAGCACAATATTTTTGATATGTAAAGTAAATGTTTGTGAGAAAATGTAAATGAATGAATTAATTTTAAAAATAGGGTTTAATTATAGTTTTCTCCAAATCTTTGGGGGAAGGGACATCACCAAGGCCTAGACAGACAGGGTCCACACCTTAACCCAGAGGCACAACATTTGTTCCCCTTCCCAACTCTGCAGCTTGGAACAATGATCTATACCCTTTTTGTAAATAAGCACTTTATTCTTATCAGTGTTTATTTGAACTAGAGAAAGGCAGGTGAGACAATGCTAGAACAGACTCACTACTGGATCTCTGAAGGGCAGCACAAGACACCAATATGGAGGCCTAGTGGGTAGCAAGGTACATCTGTATTACAATGATACCATGATGAAACAAACAGTAAGCTCACTCCATCTACTCTGAAGAATATATAAGGAAGGTGTCTATCTTTAATGACACAGCACCAAAGGTTTTAGGATGGAGCTAAGATCAGGGAATTTCTAGCTGATAATAGCCTCTGGCTGGGTTCAAAAGGCAGATTTTTAGCTCTCATGAGTGCCAAGGACAGATATTGGACTTGTAGTTTTAAGGAAAAGTAGCAACACCAGAAATGAACCTTCAAGCCTTATCAAAGGACCAAGAAACATGAAAGACATTCCCTCCCATCAATAAAGTTTCTTGAAGGGTCCCTGGATATAAGATGAAACTTAATTCTTGTGATCCATTCCTCCAGTATGGACATGGAAAGTCACAGAGCTTATGGGATTACTGGGAC